ACATCTAAATATCCAATCTTACTTTTATCTGGACAATTTTAACTTCATCAAAGCTTATATTGGTAAGAGATTTCTTCGTCTGGCCTCTTCTGTGTCCAAATTTACACTTATTTCTCATCACTTGTTCATCATCTTCTATGGGTCTCCGAACATATTTAAAGCGATCTTTGAGAGCTCGTTTCCATAAAAAAAAGCCACAGCCATCGTCGTCCAGGAAAGGGTGGGCCTGCAGCAAGGCGTTGACCACATCATTGTACTGCTGGGTGCTGGGATACAGTGAGCCTTCCCGATACTTAGTCAGGTCGGCCTGGAGAAACTCAATGATCCTTATCCTCATGCTGTGATCGGGACACTTCTGTTCTGCTAACATGCATTTGACATCATAGGGAAACTCTGGTAAAACATAGGACTTAGTCCATTGCAATGCTTTATTCCTTGCTAGAACATGTTTCATATTCCTTCTCTGTTTCAGTACTCTTTGGTCAATTAGTCCATTATCAAGGTTTTTGGCTACATAGAAAGATGGTGTCTGCTTCCCACGGTTGGCAGGACTAGGGGACTCTTCATCCTCTGGGTCTGCTCCTGCTTGAGCAAGAGGGGCTGTTTCTCTAGGGCTTCCAAAGGACTCCAGTCTTTGACCCTCCTGCTTATATTTTTTAATTAAATCCATCAGAACAGCCTGGTGCCCAATTTTCTTTACCAGTTGCTGAACCATCCGATCGTTAAGTGCTAGAAGAGCGGCCCCACTTACTTCTTCCTCTTGAAACCTATGAACTAGCTCTCCTAAGTTTTTCTCCACCAACCAAATGCAGACCTGATCAACTGACCAGGTTTCCATGGCTGTGTCCTGTGAATACACCTTCTCCTACTTTTTTTCCATAGGCATCCCTCAGCTTTACTAACAGACCGCCAAAGCTGTACAATGATACCCAATCCTGTACCATTCCAAACTCTCTTTTCAAAGATGACATGATACTTTATGTGGAACACCCAAAAGACTCCACCCCCAAATTACTAGAACTCATACAGCAATTCAGTAATGTGGCAGGATACAAAATCAATGCACAGAAATCAGTTGCTTTCTTACACACCAGCAAAGCAACTGTAGAAAGAGAGATTAGAGAAACGATTCCATTTACAATAGCACCAAAAACCGTAAGCTACCTCGGAATAAACCGAACCAAAGCCATAAAGGATCTATACTCTAGGAACTACAGAATACTCATGAAAGAAACTGAAGACACAAAAAGATCAGAAAACATTCCATGCTCATGGATTGGTAGAATAATCATTGTAAAAATGTCTATGCTACCCCGAGCAATCTATACCTTCAATGCCATCCTGATCAAAATTCCAATAACATTTTTCAACATGCTGGAAAAAACAGGGCTAAAATTTGTATGGAATCAGAAAAGACCCAGAATCGCCAAGGAAATATTGAAAAAGAAAAACAAAGCTGGGGGCATCACACTGCCCCATTTCAAGCTGTGTTACAAAGCAGTGATCACCAAGAGAGCATGGTACTGGCACAAAAACAGACATATAGACCAATGGAACAGAATA